GTCATGCAGTCCCACCACGACATCGACTGCCGCGCGTCCGCCAAGTACCGCTTCGCGTGTAACCGCATCGGCGACTACTCCCCAGAGGCGATCCAGGCGCAGCGCCACTGGTGGATGCCCTTCCTCTTTATCCAGTTCGTGCACGAGACGATCCCCTGCCTGCTCAACCACCCCTTCCTGCTGTCCATGCGCCTGCGCAGCTTCCGGCAGACGATCCCCGTGTATTTCATGCAGCAGTCCTTCGAGGCGATCAATCGCAACGCCGGGTGGGTGATTTACTTTGTGGATGTGCTGGAGAAGAAGGGCGTGCAGGTGTCGGATCCCGTGCTGGCGCACTGTGTGGTGATTGTGGCGACGATTCATTTGCAGCATAGCTTTGTGCAGGATGATCTGCTGAGGGGGAAGGCGCAGACGGGGTTTGAGAAGTGTATGAGGTTTTTGAGGAGGATGGCGGCTGTATGGCCTTGTGTTGCCAACATGGTGAGTCGAGGCCGGTATTATCAGGGTTCAAACTGACACGAGGCAGGCCAACAACCTGAGAAGACTTCAGGACAGCATCGTCTTAAGACCATCACCCGCCCAGCAAGACGGATCCTCCCAGAGCCAGTCCTTCTCAATCAACAGCCAGCTTCTATGGGACCTGCTCATCTACGACAAGGCAGTCCGACCCGATGCCGGCTGGGACCAGTCCATGTTCGGGCCAACGCTTAAGGCCGACGTTGCAGAGCTGTCCGCCGAGGACCGGGCTGCCGAGTTCGACCTCGTGGGATCGGCGGGCATATCCGGACACAAGGCCATGCCGAGCGAAGCGGCCGTGTGGCCCCCCAACGAAGATCCGCCGCCTGTAGATCTGCCGCAGAACGCGGGCCTCGATGCGCAGGTGGGTGACTTGGCGGGCGGGCCGTCATTTGAGGATATCTTCTTCGAAGGGGTGGGGCCGTTTGGAGACCAGGCGAATAGGTTCTTTGATGGGAACGACTACGGACGGGCGATTGACGATTGGTTGAATCTAGGGACATAGCTATGCAAATTCATTCTTGGTATAAACGCAGGTTATTAACAATCTTGAAGTTCAATGAGAAATTTGCTGCCAGTGTTCGATCACCAAGCCAGTCCTTCCATCCGCTCAGGACTAGCAATACAATCAAGCCCCTTGCAAAAAGACACATCCTCATCCGTCTTCTTCGAGACCTCGTGCCGAGGCGTGGCAGGCCAGATCTCACCACCATCATTCACCTCCCTCTGCCTGTGGCTTACAACGAGATCCCGGGTCACCTGCTGGAAGAACAGCGGCCCCTTCTCCACCCGTGGGTGAAGCTCCCCATTCACAAAGATGCCCGCGTTCAGGTTCCTCTGCGCGCCGTTGCAGAGGTCCTTGTCCTCGCGGAGAACCTGCTTGAAGAACTCGGAGATGCTGGTGAACTCTTCCTCCGTCGAGTTCTTGTTGCGGTACACCTCGTACTCCATCTTCGTCTGGGTGGCGGAGACGGGGACGCAGCGCATGATGTACATGAAATCTGGCCTGATGTACGAAGATAACAGTATTAATACTCGATTGTCAGTGGTTGGGATTGGACGAGCTTACGTGACAGTCATGGACGCGTTGGGGTAGTAGAACGTGCTGTAGATGCCCAAGCCCTGGACATCCGGCTTGTCCACGTTCCAGTGCTGGATCCAGTTGCCCCTCGTCTCGACCCAGTACTTGGTCAGGTCTGTGGTGCTGGCGACGGCAGGATGCCCTGTTGGACAGTGGTAACACTGCATTGTTCTTGTCAGACTCGTCGTTGGCGTCGTTATGCAGAAACACACATACCTCATTGTAATTATCGGCCAAAGTCTTCCAGTTGTAATCACCAAGCATTTCCCACGCATGATCAAACGCGTAATCATCCATCTTGAAGTTCTGCAGCCGCGGCTGTTCGTCAACCTGCGTAAAGAACTCTTCCCAAGAGACACCGGGCTTCTCCGACGCATCCAGGTTAACCCAGACGAAGCCCAGCTGGTCTACGTGGACGTGGACCTTGAACAGACTGTTCTGCGTCTTATCGAAGGATGGGAGCTCCTGGTACTTAGGTGCCTTGGCCAGCTTCCCATCAAACCCGTACGACCAAGCTTAGAAGCATTTAGTATCAGCACACGAACCAGACCCGGCGTTTAATAGGTTATACATACCATGATACTTGCACGCAAGCACACTCATATGCCCGCTGTCCGTCTCCACAAGCGGATACGCACGGTGCCGACAGACGTTGTGATGTCCCCGAATCTCACCCTTACGGTCCTTCACCAGGAAGAAGTTGAACCCCGCCTCTGTGATTTGCACAAAGTCACCGGCCTCGACGAAGCGCGCCTTGTGCGAGACGAGCAGCCACCGCTTCGAGAAGATGGCGCGGCGCTCCAGCTCGTACATGCCCGGTGAGCGGTACCATGACGCGGGGAGGGCTCGGACGGACTGGGGTTCTGACGGAGTTGAGGAGGGGGTGTCGGTGGACTTTCCTAGACCGAGCCAGTTCATCTTGATGCTGTCTGATTTGGTCAAATACTAAGACAAACGTTCACGAGTAAAGCAAGGATTGAGCAATCAATGGAGCCGGTTACGCGATGAGATCAGGGTATGTTTCTATGGGCCAAGCTGGTAAAGTATCCTAAGCAACATCTTCTTGCGAATCTCGCTATATACCAGTTGTGCAAGTTTGCAGGCCTCGAGATAAGAAGCTCGAGGTGGTCTCGGCATGCATGCCGGATCCCTGCCGGGAGGGGTGGCTCGTCCGCAGGTCCCCGTAAGTGGGGACGGACCGTGTTCCGTGCCCACTTTGACGCCAGCGACAGTCCGCCCTCGACATCGAAGAGAAACCGATTGGACAATGCAGCAACACGACCCCGAAGTCGGTGGACATGTCAATGTTGGAATTCTCGCGATTTCCATGACGGGGCAAAAACAGCTGATGCGTGACGTTCACCGCCCACTCACGGACCTCAACTGGATCAATATCAGCGACGCGTAGTTGTCTCTGCAGTTCTCTCCCTCCAGTCGACACTGCATCATCATCTCTCACGTTCCGTTGCCTCATTGAACCCCCAGACGACTGCCAACACCCAGCTAAAATGCCGTCCAAACGAACCCCCAAAGACGCGCCCATCGTCATCGTTGGCGCAGGCGTCTTCGGCCTCTCCACGGCCCTCGAGCTGCGGAAGCGCGGCTACCTCCACATCACCGTCCTCGACCGCTTCCTGCCCCCCGTCCCCGACGGCAGTAGCGTCGACATCTCGCGCATCATCCGCGTCGACTACGCCGACCCCGTCTACTCCCAGATGGCGCGCGAGGCGTACGCCGGCTGGAACGCGCAGTACTCGGACCACTACCACGAGTCCGGGTTCGTGATGCTCGCGGACCGCAAGGGCAACGGGTGGCTGGACGCGTCGCGCGAGGTCGCGGCGAAGAGCGGCGTGGAGCTGACTAACTACGCGGATGCGAACGACGTGCTGAAGGACTATCCGAGTGCGAAGGCGGACTTTGAGGGGCTGCAGGCGTGTATTAACCGTCGCGGCGGGTGGGCTGATGCGAAGGGGGCTATTGCGCAGTTGGCGGGGGAGTGTAGCCAGCTTGGAGTGCAGTTCGTCGCGGGAGCACGGGGAACGGTGAAGTCGCTCAAATTTGAGGAGGGGAGGGTTGTTGGGGTGAATGTTCTTGAGGGCCCGCCGGTTCTCGGGGAGAAGGTTATCTTGGCGACGGGAGCGTGGACGAACCGGATTATTCCCATTTCTCACGCCAGCTCTGCGTCTGGACAGCCTGTTGGGTTCATCCAGCTCACGGAGGAAGAGGCTGAGAGGTTGAAGGATATGCCTGTCATGATAAACTTCGAGTCGGGCGTCTTTATTTTCCCGCCTACGAAAGGGAAGAACCCCATCCTGAAGCTCGCCCGTCATGGGTACGGGTATGCGACCGAGGTTTCCGTTGGTGAGGACGGTTCTCAGAGGGTCATTTCTACGCCGAAGAGAGATGGCAGTAATGCGGCGACGGGATATCTCCCCGATGACGCGGATGAAGGTCTGAGGGAAGGTGTGAAGCAGCTGTTGCCCGAGTTTGCGTCGCGGCCTTGGGTCAACCGGCGCTTGTGCTGGTACTCTGACACTCCCGAGGGAGATTTCATCATGGATTATCACCCGTCTATTGAAGGTGTCTTCTTCGCTACCGGAGGAGCGGGACAGTAAGTGATCCCATATAATACCATGGGTGACAATAGCTAACCGCGTGTCACGCTCAGCGCTTTTAAGTTTTTGCCTGTTTTGGGCAAGTACGTTTCGGACTGCTTCGAGGAGAAGGCACCACAAGAGCTTCGACACAAGTGGAGGTTGCGTGCGTCGGAAGGCCAGGAGTTGAAGCTGGGAGATGGTAGTCGCGGCGGCCCGCCTTTGCGAAAGTTGACGCCCGTTGAGCAGTCGAAGTTATAAATTTGGCTATATATAGACATAGATTCCGCGGACCATGACAACCGATCAGTTCTAGACAAGTCGAATATGACTTCACAAAGCACCTGTGAACTACGTGAACGTCTTGGTGTTAAAAGCGCTCCGTTGAGAGCCATCCAGCCAGCTCCGAGAATACTTAGCTTATGTGAGAAGACTAAGACATGTTGACGTTGATATGCGCCGCTGGCCTCAAAGCTTCGATGTCGGCGATGCCGCGAAGAGGTCCTGTTGGCCAGGGCTTATCGCACGGCCGGGATCCACCCGGTCCGCCTCCGGCCTACGCCGCCCCGTCCCCACTTACGGGAGATAAGTCCTGTCCACTCGGAGTGCTGCAATCAAGAGTAAGATAAGAGAACAAAGTTGAGAATGCCATGCATGTGAGTGATAGACGATAGACGATAGACACCGAGCCAAGTCGTCGTTCTCAATCCGATGACCATAGAGAGCAGACCAAATTCAAAGCCTCATTAGAAAAGCAGAGATTTCTCAGCCGCAGTCAAATCCCCACGGAAGCCAAACACCTAGATATCATGAACGGTAACACCCAACATGGAGGCACATCTCATGGTCCGCCGCAAGAGCGCAGGAAAGTTCCGTATCGGCACATACGTGCCGTGATCATTGGCGCGGGGTAAGTTCTGCTAATAATGCTGGGGTCACGTCATGATGCAACTGACACCGTCTAAATAAGAGTATCAGGGATATTGATGGGTAATGCATTCTTCATGAAAGTCCTTCCGGTAGACTAACATTATGGGACGTTAGCCTACAAATTACGAATGTACCTTGGAGATTACGTTGATTTTCACATCCTGGAAAAGTCCCCAGAACTAGGGGGGACTTGGTTCGAAAACAGGTATCCAGGTGAGCTATCGCACATCCTTCATCTCCGGTGCTAGCGTTCTTGTCTGACTTTATATCAATACTGAAGGATGCGCGTGCGATGTTCCTAGCCATTGCTATCAGTACAGCTTCGCACCCAACCCTGATTGGTCAAAATTGTAAGCGTATGCCCCGCCAGTGAAACCGAGACTTCATGCTGAGAAACGTTTGTCTAGCTATGCATCTTCTCGAGAAATCAAGGCTTATCTCGATGGAGTTGCTAAGTACTTTGACCTGAAAAAGTTCATCAAGTTCAACACCAAGGTCACCAACGCGCAGTGGTCCGAGGTCAGCAGCACTTGGACTGTCAAAGTCGAGAATGGGTCCACCTATGAGGCGGAGGTCTTATTCAATGCCGGTGGTATCCTCAATAACCTCCAAATGCCGAATATCACTGGCATTAACACCTTCGTTGGTCCAATTCTTCACACCGCCGATTGGGACCCATCGATAGATCTCAAGGGTAAGAGAATTGGCGTCATCGGTGCGGGGGCCAGCGCCGTTCAACTCCTGCCGCAGATACAACCGACGGCAACGAAAGTCACGGCCTTCATCCGTACACCGTCCTGGATCTCACCTCCCGTCGCCCTCCCGGAGGCCGACCGACCGAGCTACTCGTACGACGAAGCGGAGAAGACCAGATTCCGAGAAAACGATGCTGAATACCTTGAAGACCGGAAGCGGCTGGAAGCGCATTTCAATGGCATGTTCGACGCCTTCTTCAAAGCTAGTCCGCAGCAGAGAGACCTTCGGGAACGATTTGAAAGCCGCATGAGATCTCTGATTCGTGACGTGGCTCTTCAAGAGCGACTGATTCCCAAGTTCGAGGCGGGCTGTCGGCGGATCAATCCGGGAGAGCAGTACCTTCTGACACTCCAACAGCCAAATGTTGAACCCGTATTTGAGGGCATTGAGAAGATCACTGCTACTGGCATAGTCGCCGGTGGAGTTGAGTATCCTGTGGACGTTCTTATTGCTGCTACCGGCTTCAACACCACCTTCACGCCGCGCTTCCCGATCATTGGCAGAAATGGCAACAATCTACAGGATATTTGGGCTGAGAACCCCACCTCTTACTGCGGAACGGGTGTTTCTGGATTTCCCAACTACATGATATTCCTGGGTCCCAATACGCCCATCTCCAATGGCAGTCTCATGGGTGAGTACAAAACCTTTGCATATTCGGACCTGGCATTTACTTATTGGTACCAGGCCCAATCGAAGCTACGGGTGACTACTTCGTTCGCATTCTCACCAAGATGATCCGACAAAGCATCAAGTCTTTTGACGTACGTATCGATGCTCAAACGGACTTTGACAACCACACACAAGAGTTCATGCGTCAGGCAGTCTGGACAGGAACGTGTCGGAGTTGGTGTGAGTTCATCAGGCGAGGGCAGAGCTAATGAGAGCGTTGAGCTAATTAAATGCCTCGCACAGTTAAGAAAGATATCGACGGGAAGGTAAGCGCTCTGTGGTGCGGAAGCTCACTCCACTACATGCAGTCACTTGCCGAAGACCGCTGGGAGGATTACGAATGGCGCTGTGATGGGAACCGCTATGCATACTGGGGCAACGGATTCTCCTGGATCGAGAAACCCGAGTTGGATCCCATAGGCATTGATGAAAGGGAGTACTCAAAGACAATGACCACCATTGCAGAAAGATCGTCGGACCTCAGCTTCTATCTGGGTAAGGCTGATCCCTTGCCCAAGGGTGTCTTAGCTCACGTGGTGGACGCCGAAGTTCAGTGTCAGCATATCGTGGGGCAGTCTGAGGTCCATGGAGCCGATCTGACCAAGTCCGACGTGAAAGACGCGGACGTTACTGAGCAGGAGATGCGTTCTGGTTTAGAGTCTTATGTTCCAGCTATTGCTGTGGGGGTTTGATACTAGCTGCAATAAATCGATTTCTCTATGAAAATACCAGTTCATATACGTTTGCAATGAGAATGACGAGCAGGCAGTTAGCCGAAGTAGTGATGCATAGTGAACCTTCAGTGTGGTGTCAGGTAATGAGTTACTCTGATATGACTAGTCTTGCTGATTGATACCGGCTGATTCGGGTAGACCTAAGAGACGTATGACATTTTTTCTCGATATCATATCCACCTCTTGCTCTGTGAGCGTCTTCGTTGTGAGAAGTTCGGAAAGGAATCTTCTGCCACTGCTGCTTGATTCAAACGGATAATCGACGCTGAACAGAATGTGTTCAATCCTCGTCACCTGTCGCATCATCTTGAATGTGTCAACACAGAAAATGCCACTTGTTGTGACCCATACGTTATCCTGCCACACATATTTGATGGACTTCGATTCGTTGTCAGCCATGGCTCGAAAGGCTGGCATACTCTCAACTCGAGAAAGCATCATTGGTAAAAGCTCTCCCATGTGGCCAATGATAATCTTCAGTCTGGGGAATCTTTCAAACACCCCAGCAAGGTAGAGCTTCAGGATGTGCAAGCCCACATCTTCGTGCCAGCCCCACGAGGCCGTCGTGAGACCAATTTCCGCCATAGTTGAGTAATTACCGCGATAACGCGATTTCAAGATTTCCGGGGTTGGCGGTGAAGGATGAAGGTAGATCGGGACGCCCAGCTCTTCCGCTGCTCAGAAAATGGGCCAGAAACGACTATCGTCATAGTGCGTCATGTCTTCCAGGTGATTGTCGACCATCGCGCCCACAAACCCCAATTCGTTGACGGCACGCCGGAGTTCCGCGACCGCGTCGTCCGGAACGCCCATTGGGAGGGCAGCAAAGCCGGCAAAGCGATCAGGAGTTTGTGGAGTGGCCTTCGTCATCTCGTCATTTGCGCGTCGGCACAAGTCTGGCCGGTTCGTGGCCACACCGGGGAGATGGGATAGAATTTGGAAAGCAATCCCGCCAGCTTTCATATCGGAGAGACGGAAAGAGCCAAGGTCCCATGCTCTCGCCTGTTGATCTGGATAGATGTCCCAGATGTTCTTGTAAAATGGGTAGTCATTGCCCAAAGAAGGGAAAATGACATGCCCCTCTAGAGTAATAGCTTGGTTATGAAAAGCCATGGTTGGTACAAAAAGGAGGTTAGTCGTTATATGTTTTTTACGAGGACAATCACACGTGAATGCTCCGTCTGCCCTTCTTCGTATCGGTCCTTGGGTGTCATAGCGAGCTTTTCCACTACTTAAATATTTGAATCCACCGCACTGGGACGATGGCAACGAATGGTCCGGCGACTTGAGAGTCGCTACAAACAACGGAACACCGAACGGCGATGTGGCGATGTGGCGAGAACAATTATGGGCATACCGAATGAGTGCGCAAGCAAGATCATATTCAAATTTGAACAAACTGGCTGGCTGCATTAAGATTGACCATTAGAATCCGAAAGCGAAGTTCAGCATGCCATCGCGATCTGGTGTGGAGGGTTTGAGTTCACGCTTGGAAGATGCCATACGGCCCGGCCGGAACACTATCGGCATTTTGCGCTTCCGGCACGCGGTATTTTCAACACGTAATCACGTAGTGGTGCGGTTTTCATAATTTAGTGCCTTGCTTCGACACGATGGTCCTCAACACCACTTTATTCCTTCTGGTGCTTTCAACGCGAAAGACTCCGCACCAAGGCTCTACCCTCCATGTCGATCGGGCGTAAGTAAGGTCATTGCCACGGAAGTGGCTGTGATAGAGGAAGATCTAACGAGGCCCAGGGAACCGAGTTGTGACTCACACATTTTCTTGCAATTGTCGACGAGATTACTGCACTTATGTTCGGGAAGCCAGTTGTGTGACTACCAAATCTGTAGCATTCCGCAGCCCGTATAAGATCAAGGACCTTATTTCTCGTTCAACCCAGAACTCGTCACTAATCCTTTTACTTCATAGAGCAAGAGCAAATTGATATTATTTCTTAAAGTCTGCCGAAAACACGTAAGAGTCACGTAGAGGCAAAGGGACCAGGGTCCTGCCATGCTTCTTTTCCAATATCCGGAGAAGGGAGGAAGTAGACTTCAGTGCCGTCGGCTTCTACCCCACAAAAAGACCTACCTTTACAATAAGAAGATTTATGCAATCATTAGAAATCGCATGTGGTAAAAGGCTCCATTTGGTGACGTTGAGATGTTCTGAGTCCAACCTCATTTGGGATAAGCGAGCCGAGAACCACTACATGGATCTTTGGATCGACCGAAGGACAAGCGCCTGCGCCGCACGCTCTGCTGCCTAAATGCCATCTGACTCCGCTTGGAGAACTCTGCAAAGTCAAGGTTATACACAGAGATCCTCGACCGCCGTTCGTTTTTCTGTTCCAGAGTTTGAATGCTTGTGTTTGGTTCAGGAGTACCTGAATCATGTCTTCAGGTACCTTCAGCAGTCTATTCGGGATCCCTGCTCGTGAGGAGAAGTCCAGAAGTGTGTTCGCCAAAGACGAACCAGTAATTAATGTTAGTATAAAGTAATCATTCAATTTCTAGTACGAAGAATAATGAGAAAGAAAATTTAAATCCCCTCTCTCCTAGTACCCTTATCCAGCACTACCTTAGGCTAGATACACCTAGGTGCTACTAACAAGCTAAACTCTTGGTGGGTCAAAAAAGTCTTGGCTGGCCCCTGAGTTGCTGCTACCCCTCACGTAGATGTACTGTAGTCAGTTGGCACTCGATGGGATAATGACTTCGAGTGTAATTAGACTAAGCGATCCGAGGAAGGCATGAGCTATTCTCAACTGAGAGGGTGGTGTGGTCTAAGTGCCTGAGTCCGAGGCCTCAGCTGCAACATAATCCTGCGCCAAGAGCCGGGCCCACGATAGCTTTGCTCTGCCTTTTGCCGCCGAGAGACGATGAGTGCCTGAGTCCGAGGCGTCCAGTCAGTTGCAATGTAATCCTGCGGCACGGGCCGCACCCACGATACCTTTACGTTGTCTTCTTCCGCCGACTGACGATGAATGCGATCGGCCTTAGCGACCTACGCCAAGGAACGCATTGCAACATCGTGTTGATGATATTGAAACATTGTGCATCATCTTACACATTCAAAGGAGGCTGGCACACACGTCCACCCTCGCTTTCATCCCTGAAGCTTCGGAAACAATGGATTACACGAGACGCCAGCAGAGTAGAGTAGCAGCAGACGAGACTGGGCGGAAGGACGAGAGGCGACGACCGGATGTCGAAAACTCTGGAATGGAAGTCTCCCGGAAATGTATAAAAGGCTCGCTCCTGTCTCTGTTTGCAGAAGCTCTTGAACTCATCTCCATCCACCTCAACATATTCTGCCTCCCAGCAAAGAAACCAATCCGGCATCAAGCAACCTGCACACCTTCATTTTTGAGATCCATCTCTCCATCTTTACCAAAATGAAGGTCTTCGCCACTGTCAGCCTTGTCTCAGGCCTCTTCGCAACCGCCGCCTCGGCCATCGACCTGCACCTAGAGTATGCGGGCGGCTGTAGCACCAGCGGCGGTGGGTATATCTGCCGTGGCTGGAACCCCAACACTTGTTGCAGCGTCAACGCGGGTACCTATTTCGCCAGCGGCTCGTTCAGGGCCATCCCGGGCAACTGGAACATCCAGGCCCGTGGCCACGCCGGGCCCAACTGCGGCTCCATCCGCCAGCAGCAGGACAGCGCCGGCCGCGACTACATTTGCCTGGGCAATGGCCCCTTTGGCGGGCTGGGCTACGGTTTCAACAACAGAAAGTTGATCCGCGGTGCGACACTGGACGCCCGCGATGGCGAGGAGACCGAAGGTTGCGCCCAGCCGGACGTCCTGTACCTCGCCGACGGCACCCAGTACAACTACACCGCCATTGCCGAGGCTGGTCAGGCCACCGAGGAGCTTGCCTCGCTTGTTGAGACCGGCGCATCGGCCGACGATATCCCCAGCTTTGACGCATTCAAGCTCGACGAAAAGCTCGTTCTGTGAACATCAGACGTGACTTCAGAACGCATCCCGCTTTTACGGCCTCTATAAGTCTTGCCCAGACATCCTATTGCGAGTGCTCCAGCTGTTTATTCAGGTTACGGTGCGACATATCGCTTAGGATTGAGCCAGCTTATACGTCTCTTATCCTGTAATCTGTCCTTCTTTTATGAGGGGATGGGAGGTGGTTTCTTTTTCTTCTTAAAATGCTCAGCTTACCTGAGTATACTTACACACCGCTTTAGAAAATTACAGTAGAATAAGCTTAGGTACTTGGATAATAAAAAGATAATACCTTTGTTACTGTAAACTACGTAATACATCCCTTCACGTTGCCAGTAGCTGGATATGTGAATGTTTCCAGACCTTAGATTTCAACCCCATGCAACCCCAGCCAAGTAGGAGCATAATCACCCTTGACACGATCCTCGAGCTCCAGAACGATTTCAACTTTCCAAGCTAACACGGAGTTACAGCTCTTCATTTGGCACTCGCGTTCTCCCAATACCACAGTGAGGTTGCTATAAGCAGGTGCGGACCCCTGAAAGACTACGAATGATGGTCTGACTGCACTGCACCTTGCGGTAATCTACAGGCAGACAAATGTCGCGGGCATTGTGATCGAAGCCCCCGATGTCGTTTACCTTAGCTCAATGGTAAACGTGAAGGACATCCGGAGCATAGCACAATTGTAGGGCACCTGCGCCTCCAGTACAATCGAGACTGCCAGGCTGCTGTTAGAAGCAGGGGCAGAAATCGAGACGTCCTCATTCCAAGGTTCTGCTTGGGATGGCTGTGCCCACATTGAGCTAGCACCACCATGAGGTCCCTCGTACATGATGGCTTTATGAATAAGTTCAACAAGCCGGACCACGGATATGTTCCAGCTTTTGAACACGGACTGCCTCAACCACATTTCTGTTCTCAATCTTCTTCGGGGTCTATTTTTGATATCTCAGAGCTCCTCATTCACACTGCAGGCTGCAAAACCGAGGCAATTGACAAGTCAATCACGGCTGCTGCGCACATCAGGAGGGAGTTCAACGTTGAACGCCTCCTGCATGCTCGAAAGTCGCTCCAACTTCAGCAAGGATACATATCTGAGGAAGCCGAAACAGCTAGTTTTATTGCGGAAAACAATAGTGCAGCTCTATGATGGCGCTTCGCCAGAGAGTCTACGTATTCATAGCCGTTTTCCAAACCCCAAAGATGTTCATTCACACAAGCTCTGGGATTGTAGGTTCCCGGAGGTCGCAGCGCAGGAGCGGAAGAAGATCGACTGTCCTAAGCTCACCAACGACAAAAGAACTATTGTACATGATGTTATTTCTCGCAGCGACGCTTCAAACCTTGCCGATCTTCTGACTTCGGAAATCGCCTCCAAATTGGAGGACCCCGCGTGGTGCGCGGAACATAAGAAGGGTAGCGGGTACTTGATTCGGCCGCTTCTCATTCCGGCTTGATCGCGTGAACAGCCGAATATGGATGTTTTGCGCGTGCTGGTTGACTCCGTCGGCATCAACCTTGACTCGCCCAGTCGACCCAAATCGGATGGCATCTTGCAAGTCAATCTGCTCTTCACACCGTAGTGAGAGGCGACTTTTGGTGGCAAATTAGTGAAGCTTTGCCTTAGTGTATCAAGAAAAGTTTTGCTAGTCGGGTAATTAGTGCTATTTAGCTATCCGGGCAGTGTCCACACACACCCACACGTAGGTAATTCGTAGCCTATTTCTAAAGTGACTATATTTCCTGTTCTCGCTTTCGTTATTATTACTATCTATTATTATTATCGTCGTCGTCGTTATTTTTATTGTTATCCTTATTTCTACTTCTATTGCTCTCTCTATAGTCACGAATCATAGGGAATACTGCTCGGGTAGCTAACTAACACTGCCCGACTAGCAAAACTCATTAAGAAAGGAGCCGACGTGGAAATTCGCGGTAAAGAGGGTCGAACACCTCTAAACTATGCTCTCAGTCACGCCGGGACAATCATCTTTCAGAGAAAGGCTGCTGAAACACTGGCTGAGCTCAACGCAAATGTCAACTCTGTCGATGACAGAGGCAACTCCCGTCTGGCTCGAGCAAAGGCTAATACGAGTCTCACAAAGCTCCTTCTGGAACGTGGCATCGTCGGCCCGTTTTACGTGCATGACGACGCCGAAGAACCTAAAAAACATGGAAATTGCCTTTTTCATCTTCATATGAAAGTGTTGATATCAGATATCTCCGTCGCAAAACATAGTCACAAGAGTTATGCAAGCAACGACTCGCATGCTAAACGGACTCCAGAAAGGCACCGTGTCAACCGGCAGAACCAGCCCAATCGACCCAATGGCCGCAAAGCAAGCGCATGCAACCCATATAGGAGCCGAAGTCGTCACATCGGAGTAGGTGGCAATGAAAGGTGCAGTAAGTGACGCAAGACGCCCAATGGCCATGAGCATTCCGTTGCCCAAACCTCGGTTCTCTACGTTGAGAGCTTGCGGGGTGTACCTAGATAGAGCTCAGCATCCTGCTATTCATGGGGAAATAATTATACTTACGCGTAGATGATAGCATACATGGCATTCAGCCAGAAGTTTACCATACATGAGAACGATAGGTTCTCAGCAGGGTTCTTTACGGAGGTGAAGGCACCTGCGAATGCCGCGCACGCAGCACCCGTAAACACGAGGGATTTGCAACTTCGCAGCCACTTGTTGGATACCATCCAAGTACTCAGAATATCACAAGACACAGACCACCCAAGAGAATGTAGAGATATCGACATCCCATATTTGAGGACTTGGGACAGGTCTCTGGTGTTGCATCCTGTGGGCAGCTGAAGGGTACAATAAGGGCCCATCCTAGACTAGGATTCAGCTTTTGTGCCAATTTGACCCTATGTCGGGATGATCAGCGAGTCTTACCGAAGATGCCGGTGATAGCATTCCTCAATCCCCAAACACACGCAAGTCCAGCGAGCATAAAAGACCAACGTTGAGGGATGTTCTCGGCAAGGATGGTAAGATCAATGGCCACTGTGGGGAAGAACAATGTTGTCAGGATCAACCAATTTGACCCAGCTTCTCGGTACCCAGAGACTCACGGTTTCCGCCTCCGAAAAAGCCACAAATAGCAACCCACACATTGATAGCCGCCCAGTTAGGAGAAGAGGCAGCAAGCCTAGTAGCAAAGGAGATGCCAAATATCGACAGCTGCCACACTATCCTCCTCCCAATATTATCCGCAAGCAAGCCCATCAAAACCGCGCCGATGAGCAAGCCAGCGTAGTTGGACGCCGGGAGCAAAGTGGAGTGTTTTGGCGCGAACTCGGGAATGAGCTGGGGTCCGACGAGAGAGATTGACACGAGGAGCATCTGCATTTACGTCCGTGTTAGCGTCTGCATTTGACGAATGCCTGGGTACCGACCTGGTCCGCGAGGAAGCCAAATCCACAAGAAAGGGCCAGCTGCCATTGGAACTTTCCGAATCCAATGGCATCAACAGCTTCTTCAATCGCCCTGAGGTTTGTTTCCACTTCACTGAGTGCATGTGTATTGTCGGATGTATATTCGACCGTTGTGCCACGGCCATTGCTCTGGATGGGCGTAATCGGCTTTCCGAGATCATCCCCCTTTTCCACAGGGTCATCGTCAACGCTTCCACGCTGAGGGACAGTGCTCATGATGCTTTCTGAACTCTTAGTGGAGTATCGAGGAGCCAAACGTAACAGGTTGCCTTCACGGCGGGCCATCCAACGATGCTAGTCACCCGAGAGATGATATACTCATCTCCCAAAACTCATTCTAGCCATTTGCATTCATGTTCGTCCGGCCTTTCGGCGTTAAGGACCAACACATCCTCTGCCTGTACCCCAGATATGCCAAGAACTACACATCTTTTGGTGGAGGTAGTGCTCTTCTGCTGAGAGAGACCTCGCGCGGAGTAAAGTGGGGACGGCCAGGCCGGAGTTGCCATCCTGCGGGGACGGTCCGGACTCCCCGCCTCACGGCTTGCGTACCCCGCCTCTCATGATAGCGCTGATTGCCTAAAGCGGCAATTCTAGCCTGAACATCCCGGCTACACCACCTTTGAGCTGATAAGAAACAACCTTATCTTGTCCCCGAAGGAGGAGCTGTCTAGATAGCTTTCTCGGTTGACGATATCCAAAGGCAAGGACTCGCAACCCACAAGTTCCTCGTTGCTGGCCTTATTGACACCGTCTGAAACAATGGCAGTTCAGTGCTACTTCCTAAGCCCCAACGAGGATGCTCCTAATAGCCGTCTTCCGGTGCTTCACTATCGCGATGTCCTCCCAGAACCCAGGGATGAGGCTTCAGTGACGGACTTTTTGACAAGGAACAGATGGGAGAAGAGGGTAAGAGAGCACCCTGGTGGATAATTGTGTTCAACGTCTCACCAGCACAGGGCACATGGGGACACATTGGCATCCGTCATTTTCACCCGAATAGCCACGAATGCTATGGTAAGTGCGAAACTAACATGCGGTCCTTCAAGCTGCTCTGACCTCGCTGTGATATGTAGGAATATTCCAGGGACATTCTAAGATGCTCCTCGGGAAGATCTACACCGGTCAGGGGATGGAAGTGGACGTGAAAACTGGCGACGTCATCATTCTTCCAGCCGGAACAGCGCATTCTTCGCTAGCAAGCTCCTCTGACTACCGATACATCGGCGTATATCCCCAGGTGAGCTCCTCTAGTTTATATCTGTCACCCTCGTTTACTAGAAGGTGTGCTAACCGACTGTCTGTAGGATTGCCCAAAGTGGCGAAACGAGATGGGAAAAAAGCCGGCAGGAGAGTTCAAAACCGTCATCAAGAGTGTCGAGATGCCAGAAGAGGATCCGGTGTATGGAAGGAACGGTCCATTGACTCAACTTTGGAATAAGGACATACTTGCCAAGCTATGAATCAGACTCATTTGAAGACTATGACCACCCCGCCATGACCTCTCAATCTAGTCTCGTTTTTGGCCAGCTTCTATCACCATGACTTC